GGAGGTCGTCATGCTTACAGCTTTGTTTGATAGGTCTAGAAAGATTTTTTAACACAGTTAGAAATGGCTGTTGTATTTTGGTAGTTAGTGCAGTAGAGAAAAAATCGAATACAATTTTATAAGATAAAGCTAAAGTGTCAATGTTGTTTCATTTTTAACATGAAATATGGTATTTGCTTTGCTCGCAAGGTTTTAAGGTCGCTGCTGTGTGACCAGGACACATTGCTTGGTCACTCACCCCTGAGGTCGAATATCTTGATGTGTTTGAGGTTCATTGAGGCTAGAAGCGTGCGGTTGCTGCAGTGTGACCAGGACACGTTGTGCGCAGTTTCAGAGAGCGCCATCTCTGCGAGGGGCTTAGTCAACTCTGTGGCAGGTTTGGTGCTTGTTCCTGTTATATATAAAAAATATGAAAATAATCAAACTTTCTCCATGGTCCATGGTACATGACCAAAATACGAGAATAATTCGAACACCCATAAAAATTCAATGTGCAATTTTGTATGGCAGGTCCTCATATTTTTCACAATTTATTTAACCATTTATTGTACACAAATACAAATAACACATTTTCCTTGGGTGAGGTGGGGTTATACCCCCTGTATAAGTTATTTATTTACTTCGTTAGAATCTTAATAAAATAATAAAATTATGTAATTAATTAATTATGGAACTAAGTTTTCTGAAATAAACTTTTTGAATTGAATTGAATTGAATTAAAGTCATTGTAAAAAATATACTAAATACTGGAAGGTTTTGAAATTCAAAGGGATATGTGTACCTTGGCAAATACACCCTTTTATATCATACAAAGCCAACTCTTTATCATCACAGCAATTTAGATCAGGGTTGTGATTAATAGTTTACAAATTACTTCAGAATTTATTAATCAAAATATCTAGTAACATTATTAAAAGAATGTTTCACCTGGTTGATCCTCTGGCATGCCCCTATTGACATCCCACAGAAGCACACAGTGGTCACTCCGGTGTTTGTCAAGAGCTGAAGCAAGGAGGTTGGTCTCCACATGACTCCAGGATACTGAGTTGCAGGGTCTGGTGTACTTTGGAACTGTGGAGAGGTTGAAAGAGGAATCATATTTCATGTTTTTCCAAGAAAAAAGCTTCATGTCTCTTGGGCATTGTGATTTTTTAGGTTTTAAACAAGAAAATAGATAAGTACAGCAACTTCAAAATTGAAATCAATCTAATGTTAGGAATAGCAAGGAATTTGCTAAGAAAATGTCCAGCCAGAACCAAGATCACTATTAGTGGAAATGGTGGAAATGCATTGTTGAAATAATGTAGGGTTCTCGCTTTCTGATAACTTTATTCATATTTTAACTTGATGTTATAGAATGAACCACAGTGAAATAAATAAATGTACTTTGCCAAATATGAACCTTATACATTACTACTCATATAATTACCAAACTCTCTCCCTGATAGTCCAAGTGGATCATAGGTCTGCTTCAGCGTAGCTAGTGTGACCTTCCCATTGGCATGTCCGAGAGCAAGCAGCGGGTCTGGCTGCTCGGCGATGGCGCTGATCTCCACGCAGCGCACTCCGCTCGCGCTCTGTGACGCCACCACTGTGGCCCCGCGTGTTGGCGAGATCTGTGTGACTGGAACATGAAGGTTGGAAAATTACTTACACATTGCAGTAAAACTTTGATTAATTTTGTTGATATTGAACAGTTTACTATAAGAGTAGACAGATGAGACTATGATACGAAGCGTAATCATTGTAATAACGATATTTGATAGTGTAATAGCTTAAAAATATATGATGTTTTGGTGCCATAAAACTTCTCACCTTCTGATAAGCGCCGGACCTAAACTTGTATATACTGATGATATTTATGAAGCCTGCATAATGAAGTAGGCGATAGACAAAATAAATTATAATTGTATGCTATATTCGTACTTACATGTAGTTTTTTTCTCTATTTCTTTGAGGCGAGCAACTTCGTATAAGGTTATGTCTGGGCCCCATACTATAAATTTGTCGTGGTGTACTGGCGACCAAATCACATCGCCCTTGGCAGTAGCCATTGTCTCTGAGAGAATTATTTGATGCAGAAAACTCCAAAATATGTAAAATCAGAATCGTGCGTCCCACAATATTTTGCTTTTGTTTTGACATCTACGTTTCGTTATTGCATATCAACTGATAAGACAAGACGGGGAACCACAATGCACGACATACTCAATGCACAGCAGGTTAATGCACGGCAGCGTATTGTACAGCAGATCATTGTACGACATGATGGATGCGCCCGGCCCCGGACGCGACAATACAAACCCTGATGCAGTACAGACAGCCCCCTGTCTGTGCTGCATCAGGGTGTGTAAATCAAAACATGCAACAAACCCTGATGCAGCACAGACAACTTAGGAATATTTAGCCAAGTCCAAAGTCGCAAAATGTCCTAAGTCACAAAATGTCCTAAGTCGCAAAATGTCCTAAGTCGCAAAATGTCCAAAGTCGCAAAATGTCCAAAGTCGCAAAATGTCCAAAGTCGCAAAATGTCCAAAGTCGCAAAATGTCCAAAGTCGCAAAATGTCCTAAGTCGCAAATGTCCAAAGTCGCAAAATGGCCAAAGTCGCAAATGTCCTAAGTCGCAAAATGTCCAAAGTCGCAAAATGTCCAAAGTCGCAAAATGTCCTAAGTCGCAAAATGTCCTAAGTCGCAAAATGTCCAAAGTCGCAAAATGTCCAAAGTCGCAAAATGTCCAAAGTCGCAAAATGTCCTAAGTCGCAAAATGTCCATAGTCGCAAAATGGCCAAAGTCGCAAAATGTCCTAAGTCGCAAAATGTCCAAAGTCGCAAAATGTCCAAAGTCGCAAAATGTCCAAAGTCGCAAAATGTCCAAAGTCGCAAAATATCCAAAGTCGCAAAATGTCCAAAGTCGCAAAATGTCCAAAGTCGCAAAATGTCCAAAGTCGCAAAATGTCCAAAGTCGCAAAATGTCCAAAGTCGCAAAATGTCCAAAGTCGCAAAATGTCCATAGTCGCAAAATGTCCAAAGTCTAGAGGTGGGTTTGGTGGGCGCAGCCACCCGCAGTAAAAAAACACATTTAATACAAATCCGACACAGTAGGTTAGGTTAGGTTAGAACAGTGACCCCCTGGAGCAAACGAAGTGAGCGACCAAGCTTACTTTTGACTTTCGGGTTGATCATTAGCACACGTGGTTTTCGTTTTTTTTCGAATTTCGGGTGCTTCAACCAACCAAAAGCGCTTCATTCTAGCTGATTTGTGTGTAGTGGTGGTGATTTTTGTGTTTTTGTATTGTGTTCGTTTTATCAGTAAGTAAATAGTATATTTATTTTGGTCTGTTTACAAACATGAACGGGGGCGACCCCCCCGGTGACCCCGGGGGAGGGTATGACAATAATTACTTTCTTGCTACGAATAACTCCTTTGTAAATTTACTAAATGTTGTACAGCATCAAATGGAAATTGATGAACAAGAACGTCTTTCCAAAGAACAGACGTCTAAGAGACGAAATGAAGAAGTTTTGAATACCAACGAACCCCAAAAAAAGAAAGCGGTTAATAACACCCCCTCGATTCAATCCACATTCACGCTTCCCGAATATGAGAATGACAAAAGAGTTTATGGAGAACATGACGTCGCCCCTTTTGTTGTCCATGTCAGCAAGGTGGTCTCTGAATCCATGGCTACTGGCACAACTTTACGTCCCATCAAATTTGGTCATTTTCTATACCACAACCAAATCCCCAATGTTGTTAAAGACGGAATAAAGCGCGTTGGACGTAACAGGATTTCAGTTGAGTTCAAGTCTGCATCTGATGCAAATAACTTCCTGAAACACCCATCTCTAGCCCCAGCTAAGTATGAAGCTATAATTCCGTCTTTTAATACGACCCGAATGGGTATAGTCAGGGATGTGCCAGTTGAGTGGACATTGGAAGAGCTAGTACTTGCGATTGAAGTACCATCTGGGTATGGTAGAGTAATTAGAGCCCGCAGGCTAAATCGAAAATCTATTGGTGAAAATAACACACCCACGTGGATTCCAACCCAAACTGTTGTACTTACTTTCCTCGGACAGAAACTCCCCCCACAGGTTTACTGCTTCTACACTTCCTTGCCTGTTCAGACATACGTTCTGCCGACGATTCAATGTAACAAGTGCTGTAGATTCGGACACATTGCTGTCAAGTGCAGGTCCTCTGACCGCTGTTTCGTTTGTGCAGGAAATCACCCTGGCATGACTTGCTCAAAAAACACCCCAACGTGTCTCTTCTGCAGTGGGAGCCATAAAGCTACAGACCCCAATTGCCCGGAACATCTCCGACAGAAAAACATAAAATTAGTAATGTCCCAGGAGAACATCTCCTATAACGAAGCATCCGCCAGATTCCCCCAGGTCCGAAGATCTTTTGCTGATGCATCTAGAATTCCTCCATCTGTCCATACCAGCCAATCTCAATCCCAACGTGAATATTCTCCTTCTCAACCACGCACTTCATCCTACAAAAAAACAGTATATACTGAACGTCGGTCCCCCTCCCCCGCCTCTTCTGGTGGCTATAATAGGGCAGCACATATGTCTTTGATAAACACCCCAATGTCATCTACCGCAAACGGTTGTGCTTTATCAGCCGAACCTCTTGAAACTGATGCTAATTTCATTACCATCCTATTAACAACATGTATTCAATTTCTTTCAAAAACTAGTCACGACGAATTACCGAACAACATCCGCGACAAACTGTCTGAGCTTTTAAACATTACCCACAATGCCAGCATTCCTTCAGTGGAACTGTCGCAGCGTGAAACATAAAAAAAATGAATTATTATTTTTAATAAATCAATTTAAACCATCCGTTCTTGCCATCCAGGAGATGTGGCTTAAGCCTGGGGCTCTTTTTAGGGTCCCAGGTTTTTCATGTCTCCGGGATGACAGAATTGATGGTATTAACTTTTTGGTTTCAAAGTTAATACAAACGAAGCAAGCGGAAAAAATTCACACCGCCGGCGGGATTCGAACCCACGTCTTCTTCTGACAAGCCGGGTCAAACGTGTTAAGCCGCTACACCACGGCGGGTTCTGCCCGAGGCGGCGAAATTGTGATCCACTTGCTTCGTTCATATTGCTTTGTCACTTGACTACTCACGGGTAGCTTGAGCGCCATCTATGACTTTGTAGTAGAACTATACAGTCACTCAACTGACAACATTACGTATGTACAAGTTGACGAGAGATGGAGCTTTTTCCGATTTGTGAATGTTTACTATTTTGAAGAAATTTTTCCACAAGATAGTATTTTTTGGAACACTTGGTGTTTTAATCAAACACTAGATATTGATATTAACTTTTTGGTTACAAAGTTAATACAAACGAAGCAAGCGGAAAAAATTCATTCTGCTTGCTTCGTTTGTATCGGAAAAAGCTCCATCTCTCGTCAACTTGTACATACGTAATGTTGTCACTTGAGTGACTGTATAGTTCTACTACAAAGTCATAGATGGCGCTCAAGCTACCCGTGAGTAGTCAAGTGACAAAGCAATATGAACGAAGCAAGTGGATCACAATTTCGCCGCCTCGGGCAGAACCCGCCGTGGTGTAGCGGCTTAACACGTCTGACCCGGCTTGTCAGAAGACGTGGGTTCGAATCCCGCCGGCGGTGTGAATTTTTTCCGCTTGCTTCGTTTGTATTAACTTTGTAACCAAAAAGTTAATATCAATATCTAGTGTTTGATTAAAACACCAAGTGTTCCAAAAAATACCTAACGTGATACCTACGTGAGTGACGTCCACGGTACCCAAAGCTGGCTAGATCATTGTCTTGTTACCGAATCGGCGTGGAAGTCAGTCACGGATGTTTATGTAACATATGATACCTACCCGTCCGACCATTTTCCTTTGCATATTAACTGTAATCTAGACATATTAAGAATTAAATTAAATACAGCGATTAAGCCTCGAAATAATATTTTATGGGGAGAAAGGGATGCATCACAAATTGACAAATATAATGAAATCTGCCAAAAAGAGCTATGTAAAATTAATATACCTATTGAGTGTGAAAATTGCTATGACCGTATGTGTAATAACGTAGACCATAAAATTTGTATAGATAAATTGTATAGTGACATTATAACCGTTTTAACTGAAGCCGCGAAGACGAGTGGGAGTTCAAACTGTGTGAAACAAAAACCTCGTAAAAAGCCGTATGTAACCGGATGGAATAAGCATGTCAGAGATGCGCACGGGCAGGCAAGGCAAGATTTTGAGCTTTGGTCGTTATTTGGAAGACCTAAAACGGGAGTTTACTATGATAAAATGTGTGAGAGCAGGCGAATATTTAAATCAAAGTTATCGTGGTGTCTTAAAAATAAAGAACAAATTAAAATGGACATCTTAGCTACTAGTCATTTAAATAAACGCTTTGATAAATTTTGGAAAGATGTGGGAAAGTTAAATATTAAGCCAAAGCTGCCTGTGAGCGTTGATGGGGTGAGTGAACCGAAGGCCATTGCCAACATATTTAAAGATCATTTTCGTGTGTCGCCGCAGCCGGTGGAGTCTCCTAAGTCTGCCAACGCGAGCCAGCCCCCTCCAACACATCAGCCGCTGTTGATTACCGCTAAAGATGTAACGAAGGTGATTGCAAGTATGTCCAGGGGAAAATCTCCTGGGCATGATGGGCTGAGCGTAGAACATTTTAAACATGCCGGGGTTCACTTACCACGTGTTCTGGCAATATTTTACAATCTGTGCATTCGACACTCGTACCTACCATCTGATTTCATGAAAACGATAGTTGTACCAATTATTAAGAACAAGACGGGGGACGCTTCAGATAAGTCCAATTATAGGCCTATCTCGTTAGCTACCATAACAGCAAAGGTGTTTGATGGTGTGCTTGATAGACAGTTAGATATGCATATGAACCTTCATGATGCCCAATTCGGGTTTAGAGCAGGTCTATCAACCGAAAGTGCTATACTGGCTCTCAAGCACACTGTCAGATACTATACAGACAGAAGCACGCCTGTCTATGCGTGCTTCTTAGATCTATCTAAAGCTTTCGACTTAGTATCCTATCAAATGTTATGGGACAAGTTGGAAAGAACCGGCCTCCCGTTGGAACTCGTCAGCATCTTCAGGCACTGGTATGGCCACCAGGTAAACTTAGTGCGATGGGCGGAGGAGCAGTCAGACGAGTATAGGTTGGATTGCGGCGTAAGGCAGGGGGGGCTAACGTCTCCAAAGCTATTCAACCTGTACATGGACCAGTTGATTCGTGAGCTCAGCAGTATGCACGCGGGCTGTTCTATCGATGGCGTCAACGTCAACAACATCAGCTACGCAGATGATATGGTGCTGCTGAGCCCATCAATCAGTGCGCTCAGGAAGCTGCTGCAAGCGTGTGAGGCCTATGCTGACACTCATGGTTTGAAATACAATGTTAAGAAGAGTGAGGTCATGGTCTTCGCCGCCGGCAGCAGCACTCCTCAAAACGTGCCCCCGGTTAAGTTGTATGGAAATGCTTTAACGCGAGTTAAGCAGTTTAAATACCTGGGCCATATAGTCACGGAAGACCTGAAAGATGACCAGGACATTGAGCGGGAACGCAGGGCGTTGACAGTCAGAAGCAATATGCTTGCCCGTAGGTTTGCTCGTTGCACAGTAGCAGTAAAGATAACTCTTTTTAAAGCTTTTTGTTAATCGTTTTATACGAGCAGCCTATGGGTGAGGTATACGCAGAAGACTTACAGTGCCTTGCGAGTCCAGTATAATAACGCGTTTAGGATGTTTTTGGGGCTTCCGCGTTTCTGCAGTGCATCCGGCATGTTTGCTGAAGCACATACCGACGGTTTCCACGCGATCATGCGCAAGAAAGTGGCGTCGCTGATGAGCAGAGTACACGGCAGCTCCAACACCATCCTGAAGGCGATCGGAGGTAAGTTCGAGTGTCCAATTGCCAGCCACTGGACGGCGATTTTGGTAGGTTAATTTCATTCATTAAATTATTAATTTTGCTTTTGACATTTTATATTTTCGTTATTAATTTGATTTTGTATTTAATTTAACTTATGACATTTATTGATTCTAATTTAATTTAATTTATTTGTTTTGATTTATACTTAGTTAAAATGGATTATTCAATTCTTATTGTATTATTTTAATGAATGAAATTTCTAATTCTCAATTGATATAATTAATTAATATATATACCTAATCTAACATAGATAATAAGAATTTATACTAATAAAATTATGTAATTAATTAATTATGGAACTAAGTTTTCTGAAATAAACTTTTTGAATTGAATTGAATTGAAAAAAATACTATCTTGTGGAAAAATTTCTTCAAAATAGTAAACATTCAGAATTGATGGTCGCGCTGGAGCTGCTATGTTAGTCTCCAGATCAGTTATATTTAACCAAATTAATTTGCCTTCTCACAGTGATTTATTTAATATTGTTGCTGTGAGAGTATTTAATATTTCCTTTGTATCTATATATGTTCCGAACCCTTCTGGTTCAATTCTTACAGAATTAAAATCTATTATTTCTGCAATCCCTATTCCGCTGATTGTTATGGGTGACTTTATTTTATTTATTTTATTTTATTTTATTTTTGGTTTCTTTGGGAAACTTACAGCTTACATAATTACAGCAAAACAAAACAACAATATAAACTTATAGCCAATTACAAGTTTCCACCTGTAGGTAGCCAAATAAAAAATGGTGAGCTAAATGTTAAAAGGTATTAGAACAAATACATAACTAGTTAAAAACATGAAGAAAATAAAAATGTGATTAGAAAACAAATAGTAAATCAAAGGAAGAAGTCATTTGCGAATTTCTTTTTGAATGAGTTAGTGCTGGTACAGAACAGATCAATATCCGCTGGAAGTTCATTAAAAGCTGCAGATGCGCGGAGCAGGAACGAATTCAGTCTATAGTTTGTACGAGAACTTTAACATTCATCACCCCTCATGGGGCTCATACTACAGTGATAATCTATCCTCTTCTTTCCTTGACATCTGTGATGACCTAAACCTCTGTATCATCAACGATGGATCTCCTACTCGTAGGGTTCCCCCGTCTCATGATCCCAGAAGTGCTGTAGATCTAACTCTTTGCTCTCCTTCCCTTTCTTCTCTTCTCTCCTGGTCTATTCTACCCAATACTCATGGAAGTGATCATTTCCCCATTGTAATTTCACAGCATGACTCTAGTAGTCCTAACCTTCATAGCATTCCCAGGCCCATGTCAAAATTTAACCTGTCTAAAGCCGATTGGCCTCAATTTAAAGTTGTTCTAAATGCTGAATTATCTCGAATCCCTTCTGTTTCTCCTGAGAATGTTCTTTCTGTTTACGTACTTTTTAGAGACGCTCTCTTATTCTCAGCTAAGAAATCTATCCCTCTCAAGAACTCGGCATCTGATAAAATCCGATCCTTACCATGGTGGGATTCTGAATGCACAGAAATTTGTAAGCAGAGGAAAAACGCTGAGCATATATATTCAGCTGATATGTCGGATGAAAATTGGATAGAATTTCAAAGAGTTTCTGCCAAAGCAGTTAGAACATTGTCGGAGAAAAAGAAACTTGGGTGGAATCACTTTTGTGAATCCCTTTCCCCCCGCTCTCCTCCATCCCTGGTATGGACAAGTGTACGAAGATTTCGAGGCGCGGTTTCAGATAATGCTAATATATCTTCCAATGACCCTCTAATTGGCTAAACAGCTTTGCTAATAAACTGGCCCCTCCATCAGCGCCCACTTTCAACGAATCTTTGACCTTTTCATCTAATGTCACATCTAATGATAAATTTGACGCACCCTTTTCTCAGGAGGAATTATCTTTAGTTTTATCTGCACTCAAAGATACTTCTCCAGGGGTTGATGGAATCCCATATGCTTTCCTGGTTAATTTATCTTCTTCAGCAAAAGATACTTTTTTACAGATTCTTAATCATATTTTTATATCTGGCATTCCTCCTGAGGACTGGAAAACTCAAATTGTCATTCCCATTATTAAACCGGGTAAACCTTGCTCAGATCCCTCTAGTTACCGACCTATTGCGCT